ATTAAAGGGAAATAACTCCTGCTATTAATTTAAACTCTGACTACATAAAATTACACACTTGATTGCTTTGTATGTCATACAGTAAAATGAAGATTGTTGTCAAAGAAACAGTTTTTGTGTAAATTCTCTTGTTTGCTTTTCGACACATTTGTAAAGTAAAAAAATGTAAGGGGATTGAATCGAGGCCGTTCAATGCCCCAACAGTTTTACAGTTAGTGAGTTAGATAAAGAAAAATCCCTGTTATTTCAGTAAAAGAATTTATGCAATATCAAGTGTAAACTTACTGAAAATTCGTTCTGAATTTTACCAAAAATGATTCCATAAAAGTATTTTTTTGAGAATTGGTGCTTCCATAATTTTGTAAAACACGTTATTTTCTTTTAGAATGGACAGCAAAATATGTACACTTAATATTTATTTTACAAAAATATTTTTTGTAATTTTCCAGTGGGATTTTGAAATTCATTCCTTTGATTTTCGTCACATAATTCTTTTTTTTTTTTAATTAAAGACATATTTGAAGACTCGAAAAATGTAAAAGTGTAATGCCATTTTCGAGTGTGAACCTTTTTACAGAATTTTATTTTATTTTTTCCTTTTAGCAACTCTTAGATTATTTTCGTATCTTCTTTTATGTGTCATATCCCTTCACGACGTAGGCGATCATAACCCTCCACCTCCTCCTATCCCGAGTAAGTTTTGTCTTTTTGTTATTTCTCCTAGACTATGTTCTGCCATCTACTTGCTCAACCCCATTATGTCAGGCATTGCTTTCCCCTGTCCCTTTTTCTCCTGTATTCGCCATGTGAGTATCAGATTTTCCAAACCCTCCTTCCACATTACAAGTCCTAGAAATGTCAGCAGTATATGTTTCCTCTTTGTTTTCATTCTCTCCAAAACCTCGTCGTTACTCACATGTTTGGCCCATGGTATCCTTAGCATCCTTCTGTAGAACCACATTTCTGTTGCTTTGAGTCTCTTCTTCATCTTTAAGGAGATTGTCCAGCATTCGCTGTTATACAGGAGGACAGATATCACGTAACAGTTCAGTACTCTTTTCTTTCCTTTCCAACGAAACTTGTCTTGTAATAATCTGCTTATCTTTTGGAATCCGTCTTTGGTCATCCCAATACGTCTTCGGATCTCGGTGCCACACTTTCTGTCCTCTGTTCGAACACTTTTCATATATTTAAATTTCTGTACCTGCTTGATTTTAGTGTCCCTGACTTGTAAATTGCATTTTGGGCTCATCTTTTTGCTGATGACCATGAATTCTGTCTTCTTGTAGTTTATGCTTAGTCCTTTCTTCTCGCTCTCCTTCGCTACACTCTGTAGGAGGTTTTGTTGTTACCTTTCCGTGTCATCTGTTTATCTTATGTTGTTAAGATTGTGGCCGCCAATGATGAATCCTGGTAGGACATCTAGTTCTCTCAGAATTACCTCTCATATATAGGTTGAATGAATCTAGTGAGAAAACACATCCTTGTCTTACAACTCTTTTTATTCTTGTAAATCTGCTGAACTCATGGCGGAGTAATGGATAGCGGCACGGAGTGAGGTCGGAGAGCCGAGTTCGAATTCCAGTTGAATCCATTACATTCACTTACATGCTAATACCCTTGCGAAAGGTATGAATCAACTTCTTTTCCCTCTAGAGCGAGTTCTATAACCTTGGATGGCAACTGGTCTACTGCAGAAAGAAATGGAAACCTACTGCGGGAAAAAATCTTCTTCGTCAGTCATGCATCGAAAGATACATGATCGCCTGAGAGTATATCATTCATGAGACATAACTGATGCATAAAAGGAAAATAATTCTGATTTCTCACCTTGGACGATTCTACTAAGTTTCATAAAAGCTTATTGAATAAAAATTGTATTCTTAAACTATTGTCTTTATAAGATTATAATACACTTTCGGGAAAAAATAAAGGTACCACTTGCATGCCAGTGAATAATTATGAAAGAACCCAAAATGAACGTAATTCTTTAACATGATCAATTCAGTAACTCTTTTCCTATTTTTGTCTCAGTAGCAACTGCGTTATTTTAATAAATTTTCTTAAATTCAGAATAAGTCAAAAAATATCACATTTGGTAGAATTCTATATTTTATTGCATGAAATATGTAAGAAAATAATCAAAAAGTTGGAGCAATGAATTAATCTCAAAAGTATTGTTTTTCCAAAAAAAAATAAAATTATTAAGCGTATGGAATTAAAAAATATATTTTTAAAGTATTGATTATATAACGTTAAAAGCAATTTTTAAACGTAAATACTAATTTCTGAATTATTGTGTGGAGGTCTAAGAATTGGTGTTTAGATGTGGAAGGCATCAAATTTGTTTACACGTGGTTAACGTTCTTAATCCAAAGATGCACTAATTTATAGCTTTTAAAAATACATGCAAACATAATTACTACAGATATATATATATATATATATATATATATATATATATATATATATATATATATATTGCATGTACTGATAAAAATTTATATCACTCAAAATAAAATATACAATAATATTCAAAGAGTTCTTAAGTTCCTATCGGAATGTTCTCATTTTGAAAGTCTTTTAGGCCTTAGCACACACACACACACACACACACACATATATATATATATATATATATATATATATATATATATATGTATGTATGTATAAAGAAAAATATTTCCCCTTTTCTAGCAAGATTAATGCTCGACAAACGTACATATAAGTTTTAGATCAAAATAAAATTCTTTTCGTTTTTCATTCAAAATACTCAAATTTTAGGAATACGTTTTCACAACATCGCCCACGTGACGACTACGGGATCATATTTAAACGGAACGCTGATCTTCTAAAAGATTTCAGTTTTCTGTTTGGATTGGTATTGCTTTTATGTCCATCGTCTTTTTCATGTTGAATTGTATATGGTCTATGTTAATTATGTTTTATGAATATGTCCTGAAGATGGTCTATTAGACCGAAACGTCCGACGTTGGCATTAAACATTAAAACAGCATAATCGCATATTAGGATTTTTGTTTGTTTTTTCAGTATATTTTTCTTCATACTGTCGGATCTATATCCATATATTTATATATATATATATATATATATATATATATATATATATATATATATATATATATATATATATATATATATATATATATATATATATATATATATATATATATATATATATATATAGAGAGAGAGAGAGAGAGAGAGAGAGAGTCTTTGTTAATGTTAATGTGTATGTACGTATGTAAGTATTTCTTGATATTTATGGGCGCGTGGCCGAGTGGTTAGAACGTTCGATTTCTGACCATGAGACTCGGGTTCGAATCTCACCACGGTTGATTTGTCAGGAAGGAGACTTCCTGATGTTATCGATCTGGAGGGGGTCGATCCCAGGGTGCTGCACCTTTGGAAATGTGCCTGAAAAACCATACTAAGGGTTGACCCAAGCCTTGTGAGTGAAATTGGGTAAGACGGAACACTTGGTGGGTGGGCCGTCGATAGCTGTGCTAGCACGAAGTCACAAGTCATCGTGCTTGAGCGTGCTGACCTTTGTTCAAATTGTTGATCACGCTAGATAACACGCTCTCTCCCAGAGATCTGTAACTAAAGTCTGCTCAGTATAGTTGCAGTATAAAACACAGGTGAGCTCTGTGGGTGTTGAACAAACACAAATGTGCCTGAGCGAGAGTCTTCGATAGGGATCGGCTAGCCATCCTAGTAGACGGGTATCCTCGAATACGAGTGACCCACTATTATTATTTCTTGATATCAGTATTTCTTTCAACTCCCTCTGTGGTATTTTTAGGTGTCCGAATCTTTAAGGTAAGGGACAGCGAATGAAATTCTTTTCAGCGGCTTGTCTGCTCCGTTTGCCTGCTCGCCACTATCTATCTTCGTAACACTTTTTAAAAAAAAAGACAATAAAATTCATTCAAGAATTGTTCTTGCTTTTGATTGGTTCCAGAAATGACTCATTTACCAATCCCTTTTTCTTTACCTACATTTAGGAATGATAACCGTTTGGCCGCCTTTATTTATTTATTTATTTTTTCCTTATCTTTTTATTTTTATTTATCTAAGGCAAACCAAAATGACATGCCAACTTTTAGCTTTCTATTTTTTTTTCTTTTGTTTTGAAATAGCGATCTTTTTCTTTTTCTATCACTACATTTGCACTGCTGGTGTTCCATATTTCGTTATTTTTTTAATTTTTCGCTCGGTGTGTAATTACAGTTTTGTTTTTTTAATCTCCGATCATACAGCCTATCGTGCGTAAATAAGTTATTTTTGTTAAAGTTTAAATAAAAAATAAACATTAATTCTACAAAATGCAGTTAATTAATACTTAAATTTACTAAATGACCTCGAAACACATTTCTAGGACAAATATTAGATTTTTAAGAGATTTTTAAATTTATTGTTTACATTTTTTGTCTATAACAACCTCCGATCATACAGCCTATCGTGCGTAAATAAAAGTTATTTTTGTTAAAGTTTAAGTAAAAAATAAACATTAATTCTACAAAATGTAGTTAATTCATCCTTAAATTTACTAAATGACTTCGAAACACATTTCTAGGACAAATATTAGATTTTTAAGAGATTTTTAAATTTATTGTTTACATTTTTTGTCTATAATGTCGGTATGATGAGTCGATGAATGACGAGTGAGCACGCCAATGTTTTAAAAATGCCTAAAAACTGTAGTGGAATTATATACGGAAATAGATGTTTCCTTTAATATAGATTAGCTTTAGGGTATTATCTTTCAAGTAAAACTAAAATTTAACTTCAAAGAAGATATTTACATTATTTAAAATACGTTTTTTCGGGTGGGAGCGGGTAGACCGTCTTTTCAAGCGAAGTCTACCGTTGCGTGACATGGTAGGGGGGTCCTCGTGTGGGTGATTAGAAGAACACAGCAACCGCACACTTTCGCACAGGCAGAGCACCAGAAAAGACCGCTAATATCAGTAGGCTTACGGCCATATCACGTTGAAACACCGGTTCTCGTGCGCTCACTGAAGTTAAGCAACGTCGAGCCTAGTCAGTACCGAGACGCTTGAGAATACCAGGTGCTGTGTAGCGCGGATGTGCAGGTGGTGCAGTGGATAACGGTTCGGGATTGGAGATCGGAGAGCCGAGTTCCAATTCCAGCTGGGTTCGTTATATTCACTTACACGCAAATACAAGGTATGAATTCGCCTCTTTCCGAACTCCAGCTATGGATTAATTAATAATACTTCTATCAGTAAATCTTTATTATCTTCAAAAAATTATTACAACTTAAAAACATTTTCTGGTTTTAAATAACTTGGAAAGTGCTGATAAACCGTCAAAAACAGTTGATCAATTGAATAACAGTAGAGGAAATATTGTGAGAGTAACATTTTCGACGGTATTTCTCTGGACCAACTATAGTTTTGTGGCTTGAACTGAATCAATGCTGACACGTCGTGTTTGAAAGATAGTCATGCTCAATATTTTTGCGCTTTTATCTTGTGAAAAATGCATAGAAGTGTTTCCTATGTGTTCCCAGTCTGAAGTGGGGGCAGGTCGGAAATAAACGAAAATTTCCCAAAGTTTCAAGAAAAAAAATAAAATAAAATAAAATAAAACACTAACCACAATTTATAAACTATCAGTAGTTTGGTATCTATTTCTCATCCGGTGGACAGCCTCGTAGCTGAGGGAGTTTCAAATTTCCCAATAGTCGGTGTTTGGGCTAAAATAAAACACCAAGGTTTTAAATAGAGATTTTCATTCTTCTCTTGAATGATTGTCGCATCACAATCTTCAGAGTTCAACTTCAGTTCTGTTATACTAAACACATATTTAAATAAATACCAACTCTTCCATTTGAATTTGTTGATTTCTACAGTCATGTGAAAATTATTTTACCGTTTTCATAAATAATTAAACATCTTTGAAGTAACGTATTTCATTATTCTCATGCTGATTTTAATTTTTTTAAATGTGACATTTTTCTAGCTAAAAATAATGATACCTTTACTGATTTAAAAACATGTGACATTAACTGGTTTGAAAAATTAGACTTACTAAATAAAAATGTGATTTGTACTGGTTTGAAAAATGAGACTTACTAAACAAAACGTGTTTTTTGCTGGTTTCAAAAGATGTGATGTTTTCTGGATTAAATAAATTCGAATTTGACTTACGTCTATAAATGTAACTTCCACTGATTTCAAAAAATTGCCACTCATTATTTTTGTGAAACAATATCACGACTTGAGCCCAGGCTTTCATTGCTGGACACCTCGATCAATGAAAGTAAAGCACTTATTCAGTCGCTTGATTTATATATAACGATGCTAATAATGTGAGAACTCACGGCAAAATGACAGAATTTTCAGTAGTCTTTTTATATTCTACCATGAGACGAAGAACATCACTGAAGTATAAAAATAAAGAAAGAAATGAAGAAATATTTTCTTGGTATTTCGAAGAAGTTTCTCAGATATATAAAAGGATCCAAAGAGCTAATACAATTGGTGAAGTGATTGATCATTTTACGATATTTTACGATGGAGTAATGGACAGCGACTCGGCTTGAAGAATCGGAGAGCCGAGTTCGAATTCCAATCGATTCCATTACATTCAATTACGTGCTAATACCCTTGGGAAAGGTAGAAATCCTCTTCTTCTCCCCCAGCTATGAATAAATAGCAGAACAGACCGTGTTCTATATTTTAGATGGCAACTTGTCTACACAGAAAAAATGGCAACCTATTGCGGGAAAAAATCTGCCTTGTCAGTCATGTATCGAAAGATATATGATCACCTAAGCGTGTATCACGCATAGAACATAACTGACTAATTGAATATATAATCCATATATATAAAGAACTTATATATATATATATATATATATATATATATATATATATATGGTTGGATAGATGAGTTTGTGACCCTGGGTTTCACGCTTTAGCGATCGTCAGACAAACTGATTAATGTTTTAAAAAAATTTGGGTTTATGTAGATTGCGTGTATTGGTGTTATTGTGGAAGTGGTGGGGGAAATTTCGTCGTTTTTAAAAATAAATATAAATAATAATAATTTTTACCTATCATAATTTTACACAAACCCCACCACACGCATATACATACATGCGAGGAAATATTTTTCAGCGGGAAAATACATAATATGACATGTATGCAGTAACGAGACATTTCCGTCACACTTCCAGTGTTTAAATTTCAACATTTCAACATACAAATGCGTATGTATAGATATAACACCACCCGTATACATACATGTGTCATAGCCGAAACTGTCCACATATGTTTATATATGTATGAGTCCCGACGGACGACCAAGTATGTATATGTGTCTGCATATATCGATGTTTGCGTTAGTACGATGAATGACAAAACGACGAAATTTCCCCCACCACTTCCACAATAACACCAATACACGCAATCTACATAAACCCAAATTTTTAAAACATTAATCAGTTTGTCTGACGATCGCTAAAGCGTGAAACCCAGGGTCACAAACTCACATCTATCCAACCAAATATGTTAGCTCTATCTCTGATATTGAGCGCTTTCTAATAAGTACCGCGCATATAATATATAAATAATTATACATACTTATATTTATTTATATTTATATACACTTTTCACACACACACACGCACACACACACACACACACACACACACACACACATATATATATATATATATATATATATATATATAATGTAAGGAACGAACGAATAGATTTATTATCCGACATTATTTCCTGTATTGAGTCTTATTATCCATTGATTTCATTGGTTGCTTTTCCATCAGCCGGCGCTGGTTTATTTGTGATAGGAGAACTCATAACCTTTCCGGACCTCACTGGACTCATCAACTTACCTCATACATATTGATCATGTTGTGCCATCCAGTAAACTGTTTCCGAGTATTTAGCAGCCAGATGGTGTGATACCAAAGGAATATATATATATATTGTTACGAGGATGCATTTCTATAATAAGGGATTCCTTTGAGTTCTACTTGTTATTACAAAAAAGTTTTCATTCATGAAGTAGTTGTAAAATAGAGAAATTAGAAATAGAATGTTTGGAAGATTCTAGATCATTCTAGTATATTCGAGAAAAATCTAGATGATTCGAGAAACATCTAGAAATATGCAAATTAGGTGTTAGCCCCTATAAAAATGGGATTTTGGAAAAGGGTTGTCAGTTGATGAATGAGAATTTCTGCTGTTATCAACTCCGGCTTTTGATTCAAGGACTATTATATCCAGCCGAAAGAATCTCTATAAAAAGTTGCCGACCAACCAAAACCCAAAAGAGAATTTCATGGAACAAAGTTGGTAAATAGAATTTTGACTAATTTTTCATTGACCAAACAAAAATTAATATTTATTTACACACCTTTGTGGATTTCCAAATATAGCACTTAGATTACTTCACTAGCCCTAAAGTGATAAAGATATATGATTCCCTTTCCTTCTCCCTCGTAACACTTCGCCAGTAACTCTGTGTTTTCTGTTTTGTAAGCCACAATTGTTTATCTTGTATATATTTTATGTTCTGTTTTAGTAAATTAAATATTTGTTTGTGATTTAGCTCTGTGTTGTGGTAAATCATTTTTTTTCCTTTGTTACAATTATCAACACGTAACAATATATATATATATATATATATATATATATATATATATATATATATATATATATATATATGTCTGTGTGTGTGTGTATATATATATATATATATATATATATATATACAGGGTTGGACAAAATAATTGGAACAGTTGCAAAATCCCTCCTATATTTCAAAGACCTATTATATTAAGAACTTTAACTAAAACTTCGTAATTGCAGATTATATCTATTGTAAATACGTTTATTTATCTAATTTACTGTCTTTGTCTTATTTATTTTTAGAATTTAGTAAAAATTTAACCAAATTCGGGACCTCTCCGAGTTCGAAAAGAGCAAATTGTTGGAGCTCGCATGGCAGGAGCCTCGATCACTAAGGTTGCTGAACTGTCTGGTTTTTCAAGAGCTACCATATCAAGAACACTGAAGCAATTCGAGAAACAGGGCAAGACCTCTAGCAACCGTAGCAATTCGGGCCGGACTTGAAAACTTACTGACAGGGACTGACGTGCATTGAAACGCAATATGACAAAAAAATCATCGGACAAATGCGGCCAAAGTGACTGCTGAGTTGAATAACCATCTGAATTGTTCAGTTTCTACTAAAACTATACACCGTGAGCTCCATAAGGCTGCATATCATGGAAGAGCCGCTGTGAGGAAACCTCTTCTCTCCACTTCAAAAGAGGTTGAAGTGGGGCAGAGATCACAATGCCTGGTCTGCAGACCAATAGAAGCAAGTCATATTCTCAAACAAGTCCAGTTTTTCTCTTTTCCCAACTTCAGGGCGAGTTTATGTGTGGAGGCAGCCCAAAGAAGCTCACAACCCTGACTGCATTCTTCCAACAGTGAAGCATGGAGGTGGAACAGTGATAGTTTGGGCCGCCATATCATGGGAAATGTCTCAGTCCAATAGTTGCCCTGCATGATAGAATCAACAGCAAAGATTACCTAAACATTTTGGGAGATCATGTTCATCCAATGGCCAAGACTTTATTCCCTGATGGTGACTGCATCTTCGATAATGCTCCAATACATACCGCTCGAGTGGTTAAGAATTGGTATGAAGAGCATGAAAGTGAGCTAGAATACATGGAGTGGCCTCCCCAATCTCAAGATATTATTGAACATTTGTGGTGCATTTTGGAGCAACAAGTTAGGAGCCGCTATCCTCCACCGTCGTGTCGTAAAGAGCTAGAGAAGGTTTTAATGGAAGAATGACTAAAAATTCCTCTGGATGAAGTCAGGAAGCTGTATGATTCCATTCCTAGACGTATTAAAGCTGTCTGTGAGGCTAAAGGAGAACCAACTCCATATTAAATAAATTTTCTTTGAATTTAACAAGTGTTCCAATTATTTTGTCCAACCCCTGTATATATATATATATATATATATATATATATATATATACTGGAGTCTCCTGTCGATTTCGACGTAT